TAATAAGATCCATGATATTAATAAAAGTTTAAAAAATAGCAACAATAATACTAATAATAATGATAATAAAAAAGAAAAAGAAAAGAAATTATATATTCCCAGTCATTTTCTTTGGTCTGATATTTCTATGCAATGCATTGATGTGGGCATTTTTTACTAAAGCTTTAATCAAATCATCATCATCTCTTCAAGTCACTGTGTTGAATAGTACAACTAATTTTTGTATGACGGTTAGTTAGTTAGTTAATCAGTTAATGGAGTAATTAGATTAATTGTTTAGCTGGTTTTGTCCATTGATTATTTTTAATTTTAATCCCTTTTAGGCAATTTTGGGGTATTTAATATTTGGTGAATTGCTTAATTTACAATGGTGGCTTGGAGCAAGTTTAATTGTGATAGGCACAGCAATTGTGTTGATGAACAATCACAGTGATAATAGTAACAGCGACAATAATAATGACAATATTGACAATGTTGTGAGATCGATGAAGTAACAACTCATTGTTAAGAAATACAAGGCAATTTTTATACTTATTTAATGATATGTGGATAATAACATACAAATTTGCTGGATTATTTTTAATATTCATTTAATAATATAAAAAAAAACGAATATATTATTATTCATTATCTTCTTCAGGATCTTCCCATATTGTAAAAGGAATTTTTATTGTCTTTTGTTGTTCAATAGTGAATATATTATCATTGAAATGATTTGTAGAAGGAGTTGTTGTGGTAGTAGTGGTAGATGGGAATGGCCAAGCAACATTTCTAAAGGTGTTGTTTTCATCATCAGGTACCGAATCTGGTGTCAATGTAAGATTATCATCACTTGAATCATCGTCATATATCGTGTTGTTATATTGAACTCTGTCATCCATGTTAAACACTTTTCGAACAAAAACAAAGTTAGATCGTCCTTCTGGATTCCACCATGTATTTTTAGATTGGACTTGTTCAAACGAGCCATTTGTTGGATTATTATTGTTGTTGTTGTTGTTATTACTACTACTACTAATATTATTATCATGACTAGTACTAGTAATAATATTATTATCATTACTACTATTATTATTACCTGTACTGGTACTATCATTTTTATTAATATTATTGCTTCTATTATTACTATAATTATAACTTTTAGATTTATAATTAGTTGGCTCATATTTTTTCATGATATCAGCCATTTCATCCGCCTCGTATTCAAGTATTTCAAAAGCTGCATTAGGGTGTGCTTTGGATATAGGATAATAATCCAAAACATTGGACACTTGTAGAAAATTAAAAGTTGATTTAGTTCCATCATGACCGTCATTAATATTATCATGACGTCTTTTTAATTTTTTGCTTGTAGAAGAAATTAAATCTTCGCCGAATATTGAGGAAGGTGAATAATTTTCCTTTTCTTCTTGATTAACCACCACACCATTATCGCTAACCTCATCTTCCAAATCAAAATCTTTATCAACGACAAGCGAAGGATAATTGGACAAATCGTCATCTAAACTAGTAAGTTGATATGAAGGGGGTAAATTAGAAAAATCATTATTACTAAAAGTTAATTTTGTAGGTGTTGTTGAAAAAAAACGAGTATTTCTATTGAAATGCTTGTAAAAACTCTTTGAACTGCTCATAACGCGTAAATTGGTGAGAACCACGCGTAAAATGGGAATTATAATAATAATTACAAAAATTTATTTAACCCCTAAATACAACACGTTTTATTTTAATAATTTGGAAATGAAAAAAAAAAATTTATATTTATGAAAAATAATTTGATGAATCAATTGACCAAATAATGTGTTTGTCTTTTATGAAGTGAAAATGCCATATAAGACTCGCAATTCGCAAATCTTGCATTTAATGAAGGATCTTGGAATAACTTGTCCTGTTGTTGAAGTAAATTGTATGGTAACTGGTTCGCCAATACCATTAAATTTGATGGGACTAAAAAAAGGACCAAAATTATTGATTGTATTAAGGTTATTGATATGATTATAAATATTCTTGTTATTGCTAAATCCTGTTGCATTGATATTTGGAATTCTGTCTTTGATTGCTCGTCTGATTATTACGTTGTTCTTCTTTATTTCGTGAACGTTATTGTCTTTTGTTTTGCACACTATTGCGTGTAACATGTCTATTTCATCCTGTATACATTTCATATTATGAACGTCTACTAAATGAATACCTATTATTATTAACCTCTTTACAGCTAGGACAAATGATTAGAACTGGGTGATAGGTTTCTGGATGATTGGAATCTATATGATTGTTGAAAAAGGTGTATCACACACTTTGTAAGGAAATTGCGGACATACTATTTCAATGATATCATTAAGTTTCTTTGTCTCTCAAATCTAATAATAATGCCATTTTATTCTTTTAATTACTATTATTTTCTAATATTGTTTTCTTCTTTTATGTCTGAAATTTGAATATTATTGCGAAATGTAATGCCCGGTTTGGGATCAATAAAATTTCTCAAGTAGGGTTTCTATTCGAATCATATCAGCCGATTTGGTTTCTGGGCCTTTTTTAAACCTTATGTCTTATTGTGTCTTGATGTTAAACACGAGTATTTTTAATGTGTAAACTGGTCGGTAGAATGATAATTACCCTAAAAAAAATTATCTGCTCTGCTAAAAAAACTAATTTACTATTCATCAACCCGTCAAACCAATGGCCCCACCTCAAAACCAATGGGTTTTTGCTAGTATAAAGTATTCATAATGTTATGATCATACCATACTGAATTTGGGGGTTCAAACAAAATCAGTGCATATGTCATGAATCTTGATTTAGTGGACCTCGATTTAGCAGATACTAATTAAAAATCTCAGTTTTACTGATAAACAGTTCCATAATAAACCTTAATAAAAACCATCTCGATAACAGATTTTTTTAAACCAAGATTTATTGTGTAATGACAATTATAGACTTTTGATTTACATTATATTGCCAATTTGCGTTTTAAAACAATTTTTCCTAAATAGTAAAAGTATTATTGTAAAGGTTACATGAATAAAAGTTTGTGGATGAGGCATAATTAGGTTTAATATCACAATTAGGTCATAATGTCATAATCAATGTCCAAAATATGTATGGCTGAGTTTGAATTAACTTTTGAGCTGCACTCATTTATTAATCACAAGCTTTTATTATTAATGTTTGTCAATTTAAATTTATTGCCTCTCTCTTGTAGCTTTGATGAGTCTGTTAGTACACATCTGCTAAAATATTTATAAACTAAAATAAAAATATCAATGCAAATAAAAAATAGTACCTCTGTCATTAACACATCTTCAGACCCAAACCCATACCAAACAACATCATTCACGTTTTGTCGTTGAAAAATAATGTTTTTTCAAAAATCAAATCACGTTATCAAAAAAAATCTTTGTACAACACCAAGTACCAATAATAAATAAATATTTTGTTTTTTTTTTCCCCTTAACAAATCTTTTTTATAAAATTATAAAAATATCACGTCAAAAAAGAAATCAATCAAACGCTATTGCTGAGGATCATGAGTAAGTGTTTATCATAAGAGTGGTGGTGGTGGTCACCACTCGTCGTTACTCTAGTTAATAATAAGTCAGTTCACCATGCCCAGTCACTTTTTATATGGGCATACACTAGCGATTTTAATCATGATTAAATTTTTTCATTAATACATTTAACCAATAAACTAGAACCTCGGTCGGCTAAATGGACTAGCTTAATTCATAACGGTGTCTGTTTTCCTCCAGAATACGTTCCTCACAATGTTTAGATGAAATATAATGGTATGGCGTTACCTTTTTTTAACACACATACATTTGGAAATATTGTTGTCGTTGTTGTTGTTGTTGTTATAATTTTTAATTATTTTTATAAAATTTTTTATAATAATCATTATTGATTTCTTTTTTCAAAGGGCTTGAAATCAAACTCACTCCAGAAGCTAAAGAAGTAGCTACATTTTTGCTGCATTATTATTAAACACAGACTATGTAAAGAACAATACTTTCAACAAAAACTTTCTTTAAAGATTGGCAAGTTATCTTGGAAAAATCTGAAGAAAATCCACTAATTGAGGATTTTGAAAAATGTGATCTTACTTCTATATACAACTATTTACAAGAAGAAAAGGAACAAAGAATTTTTCAAAAGAGGAAAAACAAAAGTTGAAAGATGAAAAGACCAGGGTTGATGAATTTTATGGTTATTGTTACTTAGATGGACATAAAGAAAAAATTGGTAATTTTAGAATTGAGCCACTTGGTTTGTTTAAAGATCATGGTGATCATCCTAAAACTGGTTCATTGAATTTGAGAGTCACCTCCAAGCAAATAACAATTAATATCAGTAAAGATGCACTTATCCCTCCTCCACCTGCTGGCCACTCCTGGGATGATATTCTACGTTATAACACAGTTACCTGACTCACCACCTGGAAGGAGAATGTAAATGACAGCATAAATATGTGTTTTTAGCATCCAATAGCTCACTTAAAGGTCAAATTGACTTGAAAAAATTTGATAATACTAGGGAGCTCAATAAACACATAGAAAAAATTTGCTGTTATTACGCACTGGATTTAAAAGATAGACTCAGTTCAGTTTGTCAACATACTATGGCTATGTATCTTATTGACAGGCTTTCCCTAAGAGCAGGAAATGAAAAAACTGAAGAAGCAGATACTATAGGTTTTTGTTCCCTCAGATGTGAGCATATTACTTTGGTACCGCCAATGACAGTCAAGTTCAATTTTCTAGTTAAAGATTCAATAAGATACATAAATTCGGTGGAAGTAATAGAACAAGTCTTCAAAAATCTTAAAATATTTCTGAAGGATAAGGGATCCACTGAACTGTTATTTGACAGATTAAAGGTACAAAAAAAAAATATATGTATTTTTAAATTTTCAAATTTCATACATTGCACATATATATACATATACATATATATATATATATATATATACACACATGTGTGTGTTCTATTAATAAATTCAAATTTTCTTTAAAAAAAATTATTTTAGACTCAAGATTTGAATAGACATTTATCTGAATACATGGAGGGACTAACTGCCAAAGTGTTCTGTATATACAACGCATCTTGTACCTTCCAAATTGAGCTAAAGAAAGAAGAAAAAATGGTAGCATATAATAAAGCAAACAGACAGGTTGCTATTTTATGTAACCATCAACATTCCATTAGCAAGGCTCATGATAATTAAATCAATAGAATTGATGATAGGGTAATTTTTTATCATGCAACTAATGATTATTGTTAATTTCTCAAATAAATTTACATATATTCTTTAATATGTATATGTAGGTTTGTGCTTTGAAATATCAAAGAAATAAATGTAAAATGGAATTGTTGACTCTTGAGCCCAAATTAAAAAAGAAAGAGCCTCAACTATTTGAACCAGAATCAGATAATCAAGCATGAGAAACAATTGATGGAAAAAGAACATTTGGCAATTATGAAAAAATTTGAAAGA